AAAGGACCTGAAGCCTTGGAGGAAGACCACCTTGTCTTCGTGGTTGAAGAGCTGGTCCAGCTCACGGTCCCTCTGGACCAGGAGGGAGATCTCTTGGTCCAGCTGGATGATGTGCTCCTCTGCGTGTTTCTCCACTGACACCTGCTGCTCACCCATCATCTCAGTATATTTAGCCAGAGTTCTGTCCACGCACTCTTTCAACGCGCTCAGAACCAGAAGTCCATCTGCTGTTTCCCTCTGGATCTCTGTGGTACCAGCCTGGACCGACTTCTTCATCTGCTGGACCTTCATGGATCTCATCCCGATCATCCGTTGAATCTTAGTCCTTGACTGGCTCAGTAGAGTCTTCTTCTCCTCGTACTCTTTGCTCGTGAGCACCACCGTGTGTCCACCGTGATCAGTGCTGGAACACGTCCTGCAGATGCACAGCTCCTCAGTCTTGCAGAACAGTTCCAGAGGTCTGTGGTGCTTGAGGCACAAACTGTCTTTCAGACTTTTCCGGGGACCGACGGGCGGCTGTGCCTTCAGCTCTGCCACCAGCAGGTGGGGCTTGGACGTCTTCTGCATCTTCAGCCCTCTGAAGTGGTCGGCCATCTGGGAGATCAGGGCGTTGACCTGCAGCTCAGGCTGAGTGTGGAACACCTCCTTACACATGGGACACGTGCACGGACTGTTGACCTGCCAGTGGGTCACGATGCACGCTTTACAGAAGTTGTGTCCACATGGTGTCGCCACGGGAGCAGTGAACAGTTCCAGACAGATGGAGCAGACAAACTGGTCTGGTGTCATTGGGGGACAGGAAGCGGCCATGTCTGAACTCTGAGAACGAGAGTTAAAGAGTTAAAGAGTTAACGACTCAGCATCGAGAACAAAGTCGAGTTTAAATGACACTTTAACAACGTCACCCCCGCTGAGAGTCAGCAGTCAGTGTGGGCGGAGCCAACGGTAACAACTGTTTCCACTGAGATGGTGTTGGTTATAAGACACACAAACTGTTGGTGTGAATGTTGGTGTGAATGTTGGTGTGAATGTTGGTGTGAATGTTGGTGTGAATGGCTGGACTGGTGTAGTACTGCTACACACAACAAATGATAAACTTTTCTCTTCCTCTTGAGCAGCATTAACTTATTTGACTAATTTGACCTTTGACCCTTTACGTCGCCGTCTCCCTAAACATTTATTGAGAAAGTCTTGTTCCGTTATTGCGACGTACGCCGTTAAAATGGCGTTAAAACTGAACGTGACACGACTGCAGGTATGTATGTTAGAAACTTTGTTCTACTTCCTGCTGTGCTCCTGCCTGGCGCCCCCTACCTCCACCTTCTGCCCTCACATCTCTAACTCTCTAACAGTTCTTCAAAATCAGCACATGTAGTTGGTACTCACCGCGCGGTCCAAAGATTGGCTGTGTTTCTGAGAATGTACTGAAAAAGTACTGGAACTGTAGGAGAGAACAGAGCAGCTCAGACTGAAGACGGAACTGAGCGCGAGCTCCGCCCCAGGAATGACAAACGTCTGAGTCTGAGGTTTGAACCTGACAGTCGTCAGGCAGGTTTTGTTTACAGCAGGTCTGAGAAACAACACCTGGAACTAGGTGTGTCAGTCAGAGCACCAGGTACAGACACCAGGTACCAGGTACAGACACCAGCTACCAGGTACAGACACCAGGTACCAGGTAC